TCATAATGCCAAACAAGATTGTTCTTAATGACTTTATGAATGTTTCATTTTATTTATGTTTGCTCAGTAATCATCTGATTGTTTTTAATGTTAACAACAATGTTTGTTTACAAATAAAACTGGATGTTGGTGTTTTTATATTGAAAACAAAATGAATTACTTCACTTTAATAGTTTGTTTTCATTCTGTTTTATTTCAGGTCAAATGATGATGATTCAGCAGGAAAAGCTAAGTATGTACCAGATTGCATTTGATCACTTTTATTGCATCTTGCTTAAATCGGCCACAATCACACCCATAGGATTCTGTTTCATTTCAATACCAGTTCAGGATAGAATAGTCCCACATCCCATTTTTACCTACTTAAAATTCAACTCCACAGAATTATATGTTCCCAAATCTTTGAAAAAATTAAGGTCTGGGGTCTCTTTTATGTCGATTTGCTATGAACAGGCAATTTTTATTAGCCTAGCAGTCCTGCAAAGAAGCTCCTGAGCCATCACCATTTTTTTCATTTTAGCACCATTTCTTCCATATACTGAACTGTTTTGTTTTGCCATATACACTTTAATAACCAATATCTTGAGGCAGTGAAACATAGATGTAATATGGAGCATTCACAAATGTTTTAACCTTTTTTCCCTGCAGTGATAGAAAAGATACCGCAGATGAAGAACGAACACTTGTTGACCATAGGTACTGTACAAACTATAATAATAATAGTAACTAGAAAATTTCTGAAGAAATTTATAAGATACTACCAAAGTTGGATACCAGCGTTCTAATGCTGAAAATTAGCATCAACACTAATGTAAGCTAAAATGTGGTCAGTAGCATGTGGGCTTACATGGACTAACTACAATCAGTATGCTAAATATGGCTAATCTAGCAAGAATTAGCTAAATACTTATTTTAACAGTAAGGCTGACATTAGCTTGAAGGTTATCAATCTCATTGAGATTGAATAGCAAATCCATACTACCCAGTAGGATATAGGTTATCCCTACCAATGAATATGCAAACATTAGTGTCGAAGCTAGAATTAACCAAAATGCTAAGGTTAGCTACAGTTTGGGCTGCATTAATGGTGACAGACAAAAATAAAATGTCTAGTTTAGAAGTGGAGAATAGTACACATGGCATCAGAGAAGAGGCATTGATAGCACTTTTTACATGCAGACCTTTTCCAACACACCTGAGTCAAAAGGGTTACTTCCCTCACTAGCAGTAAGTAACTCAGCTCTCAGCTCAGCATGCTAATGTGCTCATAAACCATTCATTTGATCCAGGTGTGTGGTAAAAAGAATGGATTTAAAAGTTGCAGGATGGTAGCTCTGGAGGATTGGACGTGGGCACAACTGAAACAAGGCCATTGGGGGAATATGTCAATTTCATTTTTTACTGTCCAGTGGAGGCTCATTTACCTCAAAGTAATGGTAGGATCCTTTATTAGATAACCAGCTCTTCTTGAATTAAGACAGATTAACTATTGTTATTGTTTTTCATTAAAACATCTAGAACAGAAGTGGTGAGATCCAAATGCCAGGAGTGTGAACGCCGTGATCGTGAACCAAAACAAAGGTTTGGTTCAAAAGTGCTTTTGACCGAATGAATACAGATAATTCCACATTTTTCCTCCCTGATCATTTAAATATATTTCTGTTACAGTTTGAATGAGATGAAGGAATTTTACAAAGACAAACTCTCCAAGACTGAGTGAGTATTTCTACCTTAAAGACATGATGAACAGTTACAAGTGCATAAGACCAAAACTCAGTAAAGCTCACAGAAATAATGAGTTTTTACACTGTTATGCTGCTTTTCTCTAATAACATACTTGATCCACAGGTCTGCTCTGAAACAAACAGAGGCAGAACTAAAATCCTTCAAACAGAGGTACTGTATACCCTGAGACCTAAAACAGTATTATAGTGTCCCATGCATTACCATTAAACAGCCTCTGCATCTGTTGTCTCTGTGTGACCTGAACAGAGTGGCAGCAAATATGGCAGTTTCAATAAAGACATCAAACACTGAGAGCATGAACAACCCAGTCAGTAAAACCAGACTGACTGAGATGTACGACAACCTGAAACTGCTGCAGTGGCCTAAAGTCAAAGATCAGCTGAAATCCAGGAAGATCAACCCAAAGGAGGCTAAAGATCTGATTCAGGTACAGCAGATCTTCAAAGAGACATTATTCTCCAGTTCACAAGTGTCAAACTCCAGTCTTCAAGGGCAAGGGTCCTTCAACTTTTAGATGTGCCTCTGCTGCACCACACCTGAATAGAATAATTAGGTCATTAAGGCTCTGGAGATCTGATCTACACAAGAAGGAGCTAATTAAGCCATTTCATTCCAGTGTTTTATACCTGTGACACATCTAAAAACTGCAGGACAGAACACCTTGAGGACTGGAGTTTAACACCCCTGCTCTTGTTCATTCATTCAGAACCTGAAGGTATTTTGGTCTGAACTTTCACCTTTGTGATTCCAGAAAATCTTTCGAGACGCATTTGAAGAAATGATGAGAACGACACAGCAGATAGACAAGGTTGTTTGACTGACTGAGTCCAGGAGTGTAATGACTCCTCAGAAGGTACTAGATTGTATCGTTGTCTGACGAGATAATCACAGTTGCTTTTGGAAGAAGAAATCTGTAAGCAGCAGCATGGTTTCTGTGTTCCAGGTTGTAGATTACAGACAGCTAACACTTCAAAACCTGCAGATGGCTCTGTTCCATGCCAGGAAAGAGGATCTTCTGGAGGTATGTTTACAGATGTTTCAGGTTTGGAAATTAAAACACAACTACAATTTAAAACTAAAACTAAACAATAAACATGTAACATTTGACATCTCCACAGAGTGGTTTTCCAAAACATGGAGACTGGTACTCCAAAGAAAAGATGATGGATTTGAGACCTCTGACCTCTGAATGCTACTGGCTGAGCTGCTTGATGGCCTTAAACAATCCTCCTCTACAGCCGGACTGGAAGAACCTCGTTCCTTCAATGGACCCTTGGGACATTTTTCCTCGTGAAATCAAACCTTCACAACCTTCTACTAACTTGTAATTTTTTCACAGAAGCATTTTCTTGTAAGCTAAAATATAGAAACTAACTCAGTATCTAATGTGTGAATTAAAGGCTTTGTTTGATTATTATTCTGACCTTAACAGACAGAGTGATTTTTATCTTTCCACAGACTCATAGTGTCCTGATGCTATGGTTAAGCAGTTAGGAGAATGGGGGGATTTTCTAAGAAAGATGAGCTGAGAAAGAAATAATAAAAATGAGCTCAGAGAGAATTCACAGAAAATCTAACTAAACAGATTCAAAAAAACTACTAAATGAAAACCAAACATAAGAGTGACTGGATTACAAAAGCAGAAAAGACAAAAAAGCTAGTAATAAAAGTGTAATCAAACTAAAACATACAAATGAAATAAAACAGTAGCTTGACTCTGAAATGGGAAGCTAACCTAGGAATACAATTAAGATCACAATCTTAATACTTGAGTATTTGTGATACTCCAATAATCATTGGAGTATCACAAATGGTTATTTGTGATCACAGATCACAAATAATCATGCAGAATTTACAGACTATGCATTTCTACATTTTCTGTGAAGCAGCATTCTAAGAAGGATCCCAGCAAAGGGTCTGGTGTTCATCTCCATTGCTCATTAGGCAAGACACAGGTTGCAGCATGCACAAATTACCATTTCATCACAGGGGCACACAGAAATAACCAAACACATGAACACATTTATAAAAGGCAAACATAATACGTAAGAGCTTTAGAACCCCATAAACAATATCCAAACATTCAGAGAGAACAATTTTCATCTGTACATTTGTTTTATGTTTCCAAGTAATTAATTTAATGGTCCCTCTAATCCCATATCTTTCTAGTTTATTCATTACTAAATCATGATTTATTGTGTCAAACACCTTTATTATATCTAGATGTTGTATAAATCTCGTAGAAATACTCCTACAGCAAGGCTCTTATCATCTATTGCAAATGTATATAGTTTCCAGTATACCGAATGTTTTTAATCATTGTGCTCTGATTCCATATTGACGTTCACTAATCAGTTTATACTTGTCCATGAATGATTAAATAATTTTTTCCAATATTTCTGAAAATTGTGGCAGCAAAGACATTGGCTTGTAATTGGTAAAGTGATGTTTGTTCCCTGTTTTGTATAATGGAATTACTATTTTCATCATATCTGGGAATAAGTCACTTTACAAAGATAAGTTACTAATATAAGTTAAGGGGAATGAGATCCCTTCAACTACCTGCTCCACTGATTCCATGTCAGTTGCATGTAAGTCAGGGTCTGTTTTTACATATTTTAAGAACATTAAGTAGTTATTTTTCTGTCACAGGATGGAGAAACATTTTCCTGGGATTATGATCTATTTTCCCAGATTCTGAGTTGCTCTTAGTAATTCTGAGATATTTTTGGGTAACTCAGGTCCTATAGTTAAAAAACCTTTTCAGGCTGAGGACCACTTAACCCACTTAACAAACCGTCACGGACCACCTAACCTGAAATTGCCCTGTGATAACAAATCTTAATATATGATGCAACCTGGAATTAAAATATTAGTCTCTTCACTCAGGTATTGTTGTTTTCTTTGTTCATTCTAATTAGAAAAGTGGTGCTGTTTAGTAAATATGACTGGCCACGACAAACGTCGGCTAGGGAATTTTGAGTTCTTTTCATATTCTGAAAGTGTGGAGTTTAAAACTTTCCAATGATGTCAAACACATGAAAATAAAGAAGTTGTGATTTACTACCAATTAATAACATTTAGGGTCATTTGTGATTTAAAAGCACAATTAAAGAAAAATAAATTTGAGTTGCTTTAGAAGAAACAAAAATCATTCTCTGCACCATTCAATATAAAAATAGTCCACCCATTTCTATCAGTTGTATTACTTTAATTTAATTTCAAATCAAATAAAAATAACAATAACTGTTGAAGTGTAAGCAGAGCATTATAAGCAAGAAAATTCATAAAAACCAAAAAACTGTTCTGACTAAGTGAGTCAAGTCCTACCATTGAAAGGAATTCAGTCACTAGTGAACAAGCCAGTTTTCCATTATTATTGCTAAACACAATCTTTTTGTAAGCTAGCTATAGCGTTACACTTTGAGCTCATGTCACGGCAGTACCTGGGGACCACCAGTGGTCTGAAGACCACAGTTTGAGAAAGACTTTAAACCTAAATTGCCAAGAGTATCAATAAGTTTGTCTTCCATATATAGAGTAGATGAAGAAAATCCAACAACCTATTTTACATGGCAGTTAGAGGTTTTATTTTTTGAGGGAAAATGTCCCAAGGGTCCATTGAAGGAACATGGTTCCTCCAGTCCAGCTGAAGAGGAGGATTGTTTAGAGCCATCAAGCAGCTCAGCCAGTAGCATTCAGAGGTCAGAGGTCTCAGAACCACCTTCACTTCCTCTGTGTTTGGACCGACATGTTCTGGGAAACCAGTCTGCAAAACAAATGTTCAGTGTTACACATTGATTGTTCATTTAGAGCTATGAATGGATCTGTCACCCATTTGGTTTCCAAACTGGAACGTCTGTGAACGTACCTTCAGAAGTTCTTCTTTGTTGGTGTGGAACAGAACCATCTGCAGGTTCTGAACTGTTAGCAGTCTGTACTCTTTAACCTGGAACACAGGAAGCATAATGATTAAAACAAATCCACTTTCACAAGTTGTTTTAATGATTTATAGTGGGTAATAGTTTTACATTACCTTCTGAGGAGTCATTTCACTGCTGGACTCAGTCAGCCCAAAAACTTTGTCTATCTGCTGTGTCTTTGTCTTCATTTCTTCAAATGCAGCTGCAAAGATTTTCTGGAATCACCAGATGAAACTTGAAACTAAAGATCCTGATGCAGCTGAGTAAACTACACATTAGTCTCTCTTTGAAGATCTGCTGTACCTGAATCAGATCTTTGGCCTCCTTTGGGTTGATCTTCCTGGATTTCAGCTGATCTTTGACTTTAGGCCACTGCAGCAGTTTCAGGTTGTCGTACATCTCAGTCAGTCTGGTTTTACTGACTGGGTTGTTCATGCTCTCAGTGTTTGATGTCTTTATTGAAACTGCCATATTTGCTGCCACTCTGTTCAGGTCACACAGAGACAACAGATGCAGAGGCTGTTTAATGGTAATGCATGGGACACTATAATACTGTTTTAGGTCTCCGGGTATAAAGCACCTGTTTTTGAAAGATCTTAGTTCTGCCTCTTTTTGTTTCAGAGCAGACCTGTAGATGACATGTGTTATTGATTAGAGATCAAGTGCTTTTATTCAACAGTGTCATTACTTTAGTGAGCTGTACACTGTTTTTTTGTCATTCTGCAACAGTCAATGTGTTCATATTGGACTTCATATAGAAAGATTCAAAATAAGGAAAGGTAATTTCTCAAAAAATATATATTGTGTGAGCAATAAGTGGTACAAAAATACTGTATAAGCATTTAATAATGAATCTCCTCAATATCCCTTTGGCTCTGCAATTGGTTTTTGTTTTGGTCTTTGTGTCTGTTAACGTTCAGGTTTGTTTAAGTTTTAACATGCCCCAATGTTGAACTTTTGGCATGATGTCTGTGGGCATCAACGTGATGCCCACAGACATCACGTTTTTTTGGATTTATAGATGGACTCCAGCACAGCATCAAAACATTCTTTGGTAATCTTGCAGCTCAAGATAGGCATTGCTGAAGGATATTTCTAATATTTATTTTTACATGAAATGTTGAAATGTTCCAAATATATGACAAGCAATGGCAGCTGTCATTGTATTTATAATTCTTGGTGGCCACAATGACCACAGATACCACTGCGTACTAGGGAACACTTTTCAAAAGTGTTAAGTATTAAAAACAGATTTAGCAATCTGGTTCAGATTCTTTTTATAACATTGTGGGAAGTAAGTCATTATATTTTTATATTTTCCACCCAGTATTTTGTGTTTTGTGATGATCAGCATGTTTCACATATTTATGAATTCAAACATGCTAAATTTAGTGTAACTTTAGTATATCACTAGCATATCCCCTAGTGTTACAGATGAACAGCAAAGAAATACTGACCTGGCTTCATTAAGTTTCTCCTTATAAAATGCTTCCATCTCACTGAAATTGTAACAGAATAATGTCAAAAGATACTGCTGTTATAATGTGGACCCAATGTTTGTTTATGAAGTAAAATATTTTTTAGAACCAAACCTCTGTTTGTGTTCACATTGCTGACAGCTGAATCTTGGATCCACTTCTGTTTTACGTCTTTTGCTGTGAAACAAGAGCAAACGAGATTTTGGAACTTCAGGCTGAACTGGTTACCTGGTGAAGAATACTGAGAGTGTTTGAAAGTATAATAACATGCCTGTGTAAAAACCAAATCATTAGGAAAACTAAAGTGATTATTGATGATACTTCTCATCCTTTACATGCTGAGTTCCAGTTTCTGCCTTCTAGCATCAGACTTTCTTGTACAAAAAGTAACAGGTTCACTCTTTCGTTCCAACAGCAATATATCTTTTTAATGCAGGACAAGGTAACAACAATCATAAAAAACGTATAATTGTCCTAAAACCATCTACTGGCCAAATCTGGTCTTATTTTTCATACTTGTTACCACTTTGGTGTTACATAAACTTAATTTTAAGTCTCTCTGTATCCTCATAGACTCTAATCTTTTGTCTTAGTGCACACACAAACTTTCTTCCCCAAAAAGTTCAGTGTACATACCCATGTTCCGCTGTTTCATGAGCATCGTGAGGTGGGCTGTAAAAACACAAATATTCACTTTCTATTAGTTGATAGACTGATAAATACTAGCATTCTTCACATTTGTTACTTATGGAGTTTAAGATACTGTAAATTATTCAGAATATCCTGTGTAAATAATTTAATATGAATTACTAAATGGTGTAGATTGTTTATAGAAGTTGGAATGTTTTGATTAACACTGTATTAGTTTATAAATATTATTGTTTTGAATTAATGGTATATGTAGATTTCAATTAGATGTTTTGGTTTACTTTGCACCTCACAGAATGCCATAGTCAATAAGGTTAAGCTTTATAAATGTATGTTTTGTTTGTTGTTGTTTTTGTATCTTGATATTGGTAAATGTTTTAGTTTTCATGGTGATCATGGTGATCGGATTGTAGGGGCAAATAAAAACCTGAAAATTACCTGTCGAGGCTGCGCTGAATGCTGTTCAAGAGCTGGGGGGCTGCTATCGTGAAAACCTGATGCTTCTGTGTGTCAGCTATCATTAATGTGAGATGTTTGAATTGGACATCGACCAATGCTTGATGCTGTATTGGAGTCAATGTCACCGCGAGAAATTGTCCTGCAGTGGATCCAAGTTTGCATTGGCTGAAACTGAATCCAACTGCGGTGAGAAATTGACTGACCAAGCAGCCTGGAAATGATTTGGACGAAGATGTGATCTGACTGCCGATTTTGATGTTTATGAAATTAAATGAGGTCATTTTTATAAACCTATGTTTGGTCAAATCACTAAATTGGCAACATTAAAAAAGCATCTGGTTTAAAAAAACAGAATTATATAATTGGCATAATTTAAAACTAAAGTAGCACTGAAGAAGGATTTAGAAAAGGACAAGAATTGGTTTTGGAAACTTGCTCTACAAAGATGATTAAAATTGAGAGCAACACGGAAGCAGAATCTAAGAAACAGATAAAGGCATTTCTGAAATCTTATGCATCCTTGAAACAAACTGACAAGAAAGGCTGGAAGAAATTTAAGGATTCATTTTTTTGGAGGCTCTGGATCAGGAAGTCTTCAATAGCCTTAATAAAGGGGAGCAAAACTATGAGCTTCTTCCATACATTTCTATAAATACTCCAGCTATTGTGCAGAAACTAGACACTTGCACTACATTGACGAATAAAATATCTGATCGTGTGTGTAGGCGTTCAGAAGGTGGCATTCTTGAAGAGTAATTTAATCAAGTTGAAAAAGAAAGAGTACAAGATATCTTTAACAAATATAAAATAGTCTGTTTTTGGGTGAACCACTACTGAAAGTTCTTCAGGTTCATTGGTTACCAGCTCCAAAGTTTATCAAGGGCAGTGAATGGCAGAAGCTGATCTTGCAGCAAAGAAGGTTCATATTAAATCCATGTTGAAGCTCAACATGATCAGTAAGATAGAATGTGAACGGAAAGTTTAGATTATGGTAGAAACAAAGCAGAAGGAAACTGAGGAGCTACTGAAGCTGGATGAGTGGAAGAGCAAGTTAAAGGTAATGGAAGCAAACATGATAGTTAAATGGCTGCTGCTTAGGTTGATGTACATAGCAGTCTTGAAGATGGTACTTAAGCTGAATTAGAAGCAGAAAACCTTGATTTAAATCACAATGTTAAATCAGTGTAGATTTTAGAAACACTAAGAAAATCAGATGCAGGGACTGTGTTATTGCTAACATCTCACAAGGTAGCATGAGGTGATAGAAAAACAAAAAACAGACAATTTAAGAGTTTGATAAATACTTTGATTCTTCATATTTGGTCCTTATGCTGTTTAATTTGAACATTTTCTACAATAAATAGTGAGTTTAAAACTTACCTTTGCTCATGTTGGCGCTTTCTCAGCATTGTCCTTGATCATAAAAACAAAACAAAAAAATAAAAAATAAAAGACTGAGAAATATGACTGGCTTTTGGGACAAAAAATAAAATACTAATATACAAATAGAGTAAATTATCTCTACAAACAGTTCAATTACTATGTAATTAACACTCAGAAAACGGCACAAAACCCACGTCACTTACAGTTTTCTGTGATGTACTTATTGTCTTCATAAATATCCTAATTTTCAGAGTTTCTGTTCCGGAGTCGTTTCTCTCAATCTTGCAGCAGTAATCTTGAATTTCAGGCAGTGGGCAGATTTTTCCTATAAGAAATGAAAGACTGCTCAGTCGCTGCTCATTGGGCTGTTTTACTTTGTCTTTCACATTTACTCACTGAACCTGTTTGACAAGCACAAGCTGTTGTATGATAGGATTACAATCTGACTTGAGGTGGAGAACATCACTGCAGACTTAATCTGTTTGGGTTTTTTGTTTTAAATTGATAGCCAAGGACGGAAATCTTGCTTCTTTTATTGTCACCCCATCATGAAGTGATTTTCATAAAGCTTTCCAGAAAGAACTGTGGAACTCTTTGGGTTCAACAGCGAAACCTAAAGAGTTCCACTTCATGTTCATCAGACTAAGTGTCCTATCTGACACTTAAGAGTCAGACTTAATCAAGCATTGGATATAGTTCCTATGCCCACAGGAACAATATCTTTGTTCCTATGTGCATTTGGAAACTGCAGTCTAACTTTTTGTTTCTTTTCAGATAAGGGCTTCTTCATCGCTGAGTGGCCTTTCAGCTCATGTTGGTAGAGGACAGTTTTACAGTGGATATGAAGAAGCTAGTGACAGCAGCTTCTTCATAATGGCTTTTGGCTTTTGTTTTGGGGTCTACCTACATACTTTGGATCAAAATACTTTCATTTCTGAGATATCAAATTGGTCTCCTTCCTGAACAGTCTGATGACTGGTCATGACCATCATATTGTATAATTTTTTGGACAGATAAACACGGCACCTTCAAGCAACCAAATTTGTGCAACTCTTCCTGTCTCTTCCTAATATTATGAAGGATTTCTTTGACATGTGTCAAACAAGGAAGCATTGTGTTTCAAATGTATCCTTAAAATACACCTACAGAAGTTTGTGGAAAGAAACAAGGTTTTACCATAGTCAAATAGCTTAAATATGCCTAATTTGCATTTTCTTTTTTGTAAGATTTAAAATATTTGCATCACAATTAGATGGAAACATGGCTAGTATGATAATTGAGCTAACATGCTGTAGTGCAAAACAAAAATGAAAACAAACGCTCTCACATTACCATGACCACAAAACTATGCTGTTAAAAGAGCTTTTCTCACATCACTTAACTACTCAGATTTAATAGGACCATTGTCGTATTAAAAGTCACAGGACCATTGTGACTTTGCAGAGAAACATGAATGCAATAATCCTTTCAGCAGCACTGCTGCTGAGCGGAAACCAGAGGCTCAACACAGGTAACACAGGGTACACGTCTGGACAAAATAACACAGTCCCAAAATGTCCAAAATACCAGGCAACACAGCTGAGCAGAGACCAGGGCTCAACGCCGGTAGCAACCTGTAAAACAAAGAACAAAGATGACGGACTGGGCACATGAACAAAATAGGCTTGAACAAAGGACACAGGTAGGATTAAATACACTGAGGGTAATTAAGGAAACAAGACACACCTGGGAGTAATCAAGGGGGAAGACAGGACAAGGCGTAGATCACAGAGGACACAAAGACAAAATAAATACACAGAAAAACACAGAACATGACAATAACAATTGAATTTTTTTGGGGGGGAAACCCAAAGCTGTCAACATTAAGCAAATGTAAATATATATATACTGCTCAAAAAAATAAAGGGAACACTCAAACAAAACAATATAACTCCAATATATAAGTTGTTTTATGTGTTTCTTATTATGTAGTGTTATTTTGTAGTTTTTATCCTTGTATTTATTACTGTGCTTTAGCATCAATCTGCCAGTGGGCCTAGAGCTTCATTTTACAGTGTAAAGTCATGAGTGGAATGTGATACCAGAACCTGCCATTGTGGTGCACAAGACACGCATTGTAAAAACAGGTCCAACTTGTCTGAGTGCAGAGAGCAAGAAGGTTTATCATTTTTTCTGTCAGACTGACCGAGCGCTTTAACTTGAAACAAGACGAGACAACACACTGATGAAAAATGGGGATATTTCTGTCAAAAGGGTAAGACAAATAACTTTATCCAAATATGGTATTTTGTTTATCCATCCATTATCTTACACCCTTATCCCTAGTGGGATAGCAAGGGGTGAAGGTGCCTATCTTCAACAGTTAAAGGGCGAGTGGCAGGTTGCCAGTCCATCAAAGGGCAACACAAAAACAGGACTAACAATCAGGCATGCACACCTAAGGAGTATTGAGAGAGATCAATTACCCTGACAATCATGTTTTGGACTGTGGTAGGAGAGAACCTACACAGGGAGAACACACTCCACGCAGAAAAACTCTAGGCCATGATTCAAACCCAGGACCTTCTTGCTGCAAGGCAACGGTGCTACCCACTGCATCACTGTGCAGCCAGTATTCAGTGTAAACATTGAAAGTTGTCAGAATATGTAACAAATGTTAAGAAAACTTTCAAGAGATTAAGTTAGATCAAATCAGATTAATATTAATCTACAAGAATGCATTATCTTTAATGTTTTAGTTGCGCAGACTTTAGTGAATCCTCAAACATAAATAAATTTTTCTAAATTTAAGTTTTCAAACTGGGAAAAAAAGTAATGTTTCTTTCACTATAACTTGGGATGAAACAGCATCAATGGCACTGATACACAGAAAACAGCATTTTTTTTCAATATATATTTGTTAGAGATGGAAGTAAGGCAAGTTACATAAATGCTATATTTAGGCATAATCCCTGAATGGAGTTGGCCCTACATTAATCTCAACCTCTGTTCCTTCCTTCGTCCACTGGTGCTAAATTTAGGCTTTGATTAAAATGCCCTGCTGTGAAATGTTATTCTTTTAGGCATTGTCTCAATGATTTCTAAAATATTAATTTAAGTGATTCAATATGTCCATTGTATATGCGGTGTTAACAATGATCAGTCCTGCAGGATGCCATAGTTCATGGTTGTGTGATGTCCACACAACCACATCTGTATCAGATATTTGTGTCTGTAATTTTTGAAGTAATCCATTCCATGTTTCATCAACTCTCTTAAAATCCCACTCATCCTTGGTGCTACCTGGTTAAGACTTCGTAACCGTCATATTAACTGGATGCATGGGTGTAGGTTGGAGTCCTTATTGTTTTTCCTCCCATCTCCAAACTGTCAATCATCATGGGTCAATTTCCAAGGAGACCCTGGTTCTGGACCAAGCCCCCTCCAAGATTCCCAAGGCCTATCATGACCTTAAGGAAGTTTTAGGTAAACATCATGCTTCTTCACTGGGACCTCACCCTGCTTCAAACACAGCAGTGGACATGAGAGGTGGACAGAGAAAGAGCCATCTACTCAGATTTTCCTCTTTTCCTGCTCAGCTCTCACTCTTTCAGTGACTCTGCTTTTCTGGTAATCAGAACTTTGTTTTGATTACCATGGTAGCCTTGTGGGCAATTTCCTGTGAGAATATTGAATCATACAGTGATGCGAGTCCATCCCAGGCCCAGTGGCATGGACAGGCATTGGGGGCATTGCCCACCCAAAGAGTCGGCCTTAACTTAAGATTAGATATATTGTATAATAAAAATACTATTATAAGTCTTTTCGGTAGATTTGTTTGCAGCATTTTGTTCATTTGTCTTTGTAAAATTTTATCATTAGACATAATGGAGATGAAGGTCAGAGATCCCGATGTCGGAAGTGTAATCAGCATGAAGAACTTGAGGAGCTGAAGTAAGAATTTAAAAGAAATTATCTTCATAATCACAAACAAAACATAAAAAATCTCATAGCAGTTGAAGCTGCACCTTTGACACTAATTAGCTTTAAATGTTAGGGCAGTGTCAGTGTTGGATTACTTAAAAAAAAAAAAAACTTTATTTCTGTAACAAGTAAAGTTTAACAGTTCTTGAGTAACTGGCCCATGTATGAGTGACAACAGACAGGTTATTCATTTGTAAAGTGTACAAATTAATTATGCTGCCATTATGCAAACTTTCTCATAATTATTTATTTGTGGTCTGTACATTTAATCACCAACTGTAATTCTATTTGTGTCTCTTTTTTTTTTTCAAATAACGTTATGGCAACATGTATCTTCCAGATCTACTCTCAGAGTAAAAGAGAATGAACTGAAATCAGCCAACGACAGGTATCATACCGCCATACATAAAGTAACACATTATAAATCTGCAAAATATATATCAAAGACTTCAAACAGCTAAAGAAATGTATAATTTTTAGCATATCCACCAAGTACAAATACACCCAATCAACAGTTCACAATGGTTATATGTTTTATTTACCAAACTCTTTATAAATGTGACCATTAAGAAAGCTTCTTTTAGAAATATGCCAACATCAGTTGGGATTCTGATTAAGATTGTGATAATGCTGTTTAATTTTCCTTGTTCAGTTTAGCTGCAACCAAGTCATTTTACGAACAGGAACGGTAAGTATTGTTGTCTGTTCATACTGCTGACAGTATGAAAGAAAGTGTTCATCAGAAAAAAACTTTTGAAGCTCAACTCTTTGTTGAGTAAGACACATTAAAGACCTTCCCAAACTGTGTTTTCTTTTGATAGATCTCATATGGAGAGAAAGATTCATTCAGAATGCAGGTAATATGCATTTAAAAAGATGAGTAAATATCAATAAAAGTCATTGTTTATTTAAAAAAAAAAACTATCAATTTTGTCAACAATTAAATCAAGTGTTACGTCTTTACCAGGCGTTATGAAGAGGAACATAAAAGGAACAGGTAATTTTTTCAACCGTAACCTAAAAACTTGACATTTGAGCAAGGTTAAGTTTGCCCTCCTTTAAGTTAATAAAATGTGCAGTCAATTGTAGATAAGTTTTTGTAAATAAAATGGAAATCAAAATTAATTTGCTCCACAAAGGAGAAATTCCAGAGGGTGTAAGTAGTAAGTAATCATGGAAAAAAAAATTAATTGGCAGTTACTAATGCATCCAGCAGTTACTCAAAATGCAATCTCATCAAACTACTTTTCATGAAACTATTTGTTTCTACCAAACAAACTTCTTCCTCTGTATCCCTCATTTTATGACTGATAAGTTAGTATCAACAGCTTTGAAGTTCATTGAAAAATTGATCTTATTGTAAACTAGCCTCTTTTGGCTGCTTTGCAAGACTTATGCCTCAGCTTAGTCTTTCCAATTTCCTGATGTTTAATCATATTTATGAAGAATACAGATGAGAAAGCTGGGGTGAATATAATTGAAATCCATTAGCTTAAAAAATATCCTCCAAGTGCTCTTGTATTCTCAGCTTATGATTCAGACGTTGGTCTTAAACTGAATAAAAGAGAGTGTCACTACAAATATTAAAAAAGTATTTTGCCTCAGTGTATTAAAAGTAATTAATTTACTAATTTATTAAGTTTCTTATACTTGACAACTCTGGGGCTCAAAAAACAAATTGTCATTAACATTAACAAATTCAAATCTATAACATAAAAACCTCACTAGTGCTTCTCTGATATCGGCAACATGTTCCAGTTTCAGTAAAATAATATCCTTAACAAATGAAGCCTAGGCGCAAATTCAAAATGGAAGACTCTTTAGCCCCATCCGCATCATCCAATCGGCACATCCCACTAATCACCGACGACCCATCATCGCTGGACCAAGCCATGTCGCAGCCAATCACCGACCATGCCCCAGTTGATAAGGACGTCCATCCAAGGCGTCTTCCGCTTCGCTGCTGCGCTCAACCCACCTCCACCGTCCAGGCTCCCAGGCATTACCACCACCAGGATCGGGTTCCGGGGGATGACATTCCTATCAGCATTGGGAATGCTCATCCGAGCTCATCGCATCAGCTCGATGTCCTTGGCCTGGGCCTGAGCGCCAAAGTTGTAATTTATGCATGTCAATACACTTTTCTAATCGCTTTCTCTCTGTGTCTGAGTCTCTCCAGATTGAATTATATCAAGTGTAGCGCTGTGATCTAACAGGACAAGTAGAGACACAAATTCATGATCACTTACTACTTACACCCTCTGAGCTCTAAAGCCTGACTAAAACTCTTCAGTTGACTTACGTAGGTAATTTATGTCATGGAACATATTTTGATGAACTGACTGGTTCTTTTTGTAAAGTAATTCCACATTAATTGGTTTTGTTTACATTCTTTAAGATATCTTATTAATTTCATTAAATTATTTTGAAGTAAGTGTTAATTCATTAAAAATTATAATGGAGTTTGAGGAGATACTATCATTGCTCAGTAGAAATTTATTTTTCAAGAGAACAGAACCGAATGATCTGAGGCAAACAACCAACCAGTTTCTTTACATAGCTACTCCATCATAATCAAAATGGTATGATGTAAATACTGCATTTAACTAAGTCACTAAACATGCATATTTTCCTTCCACAGATCTGCTTGGAACAGAGAAAGGCAAAGGTAACTTATTTAAGCAGAGTGGGAACACACATCCCATTGCACACTGTACTATGACTTGAAAATGTAGAATTTTACACACAATAATGGAATAAGTATTACTTTTTTATTTTTATAAAACAGATTTTCTGAGCTGGAAGCATTTTATAAGCAGGAGCTTAACAAAGAAAGGTAAGTATTTTAAAACTATTGAGTCCCATTTCACCATGGATGACTATTTTTAAAGACATTATGTAACATTGAGACTCTTTCCTCTGCACCTCAACACCTTATTATTAATGTCCAGGTGCCAACAGTGTGAACCGCTATAATATGAGCACAAACAAAAGTTTATATCTAGAATAAAGGATAATTTGCCTGACTTATGACAATTACATTTATGTATAATTATATATATATAATTATATATCATGTAAAACTAATGCTTGAAAAAAGGTATTTTAAAAATATTGAGAACTAATATTCATGCATTGCCTAATGATTTTTTGGTTTCAAGGTGAGCTCAGTTTTATATCTATGTGTAAAGTATAATATAGAGTCTAGCATATAAAATACAGTCACACATGATAATATAGATAAAACAGCACCATCCATCTGATGCTAAATTCTTATAAGAATATTTAACAAAGATACTCTCCACAAAAAGTTTTGAAAAGCTTTTAGGCTTAACTCAATCAAAACATTTTCATGTTATTCCTCTACAGATCAGCTTGGCAGCGAGAAAAGCAGAGGTACTGTACACCTACATAGTGGGGAAACCACATTATGTTATATTCTACACTTTTCCTTAGAAATACAGGATAAATTGAAAAGCACAAATCAACAATCCAGATTCAGTTACTGCATGTGGTGATGCAAAACATAAAGAAGAGAAAAAATAAATCCTCACTGAGTCAATCATTTTTATGCAACAGATCTTCTGATGTGGAGTTGTTTTACCAACAGGAGCTTAATAAAGAGAAGTAAGTATTTTTAAATATTTACCACAATCTTTCAAGGGGTGAATATACTGTATGAGTTCATGTCATGGTGGTTTTAGCAAGATAAAATTGTTGGGTCTTCAATGGTAAAAATTAAGAAGTGTTCCTGTAGCTGATGCAAGGATCAGTTATTTTAAGGTAATTCAACACATTGGGCTTTAGAAAGATTTCATTGCTTCACTTCATGCTAAAATCCGGCCACATTGTTTATTTATTTGGATTATTAAACATTAAATATGAAACATGTGTAGGAGCTTTAATCTCAAAGGAAAATATCCTTTTATACCAGGTTTTAGCCCTCAAGTCTTTATTTCCACCTGCAGTACTCTGAGTGAATCCAAATCAGTAAATTATGCTGTTATCAGTAATGGTTACTTAACTTTATTGAAAACAACTTATCTGACAATTTGTTCTGGCAGATTAGTTGTCAGTTGTCAGTGTTGGTGTTGCCAAACTGACAACACTAACTGGGCTCACTGCATTGAGACCAGTTCTGTATGGCTGGGTTTTTCTAAACGTTTTCAGGGGACCTATAAAGATTTGTGCTCCATGTCTCTTCTCAATAGAGCCCTTGTGAAACAAAAAGAAGATGAACTTAACTCAATCAAAAGGTAAGTAGAAGATGAATGTAAATTGTTCTATTAATTTTTAACGCTTCCTTATAAAAATGTAACTTTTCAAAGAAGTTTTTCTCAAAAGATATTACAGAATTATAATGCAGACACTTTGCTTTGCACTTCAACAGACAGTTGTCATCAAGGTCCAAGTGCCAACAGTGTGAACAGCAAGAATTTAAACACAAACAAAAGTTTGTACCTTGACTAAAGGATACTTTTTCTGACTTTGAAAGAAATGTGTAACTAATGGTTTGAAAAAAAAAGTTTCAATCATGGTAATTAATCATCGTTTATGGTTTCTTGTTTTCAACAGATTGACTGAGATGGAGACATTTTACAAAGACAAACTGAATAAGGAGAGGTTAGTATTTTTAAAGTTAGTTTCATGTTAGTTTACCAGGATGATTGTATCAGTTGGGATCATTTTTGATGTTTCATTTCAGTCCAGGTTTGATACAAGTTAGAATCGGTTGGTGGATTTAAAGGTGCTGCAATTAAAACATTTTGTTTTCTGGTTTTTCACCGACAGGACTGTTCTGAAGCAAATTCAGGAAGAACTGACATCATTCAAAGACAGGTGTAGTACATGGAAACCTGTACTTTCAGATTGCTTCTAGTTTGCATTACATTTCTTAAAATACAGTGACTACATGCGCTCACTGGAAATCATCCAGCTTCACGGCTATTGCTGAACTGTCAGCTTGCCTAACCAGTTGAAATCATTGTTTTCTTTACATACATAGTGTATACTATTTCTAATGTCAGGATTTACAAAGTCCTGGTACTCCCAGAAGCAATAACCATATTCATGGAGTGCATTCTAACCAGAATTTAACTGCTCAACCAAAATCTTTTTCAACAGAATGGCTGTAAAGGAAACACAGAACGAACATCTTAAAGAAGAAATGTAAGTATTTTAAATAAGGTTTCTGTTAAGGTATTTAAACGATCTAAAATGAACTTCAAGGTGAGCTCAGTTTTATATCTATGTGTAAAGTATAATATAGAGTCTAGCATATAAAATACAGTCACACATGATAATATAGATAAAACAGCACCATCCATCTGATGCTAAATTCTTATAAGAATATTTAACAAAGATACTCTCCACAAAAAGTTTTGAAAAGCTTTTAGGCTTAACTCAATCAAAACATTTTCATGTTATTCCTCTACAGATCAGCTTGGCAGCGAGAAAAGCAGAGGTACTGTACACCTACATAGTGGGGAAACCACATTATGTTATATTCTACACTTTTCCTTAGAAATACAGGATAAATTGAAAAGCACAAATCAACAATCCAGATTCAGTTACTGCATGTGGTGATGCAAAACATAAAGAAGAGAAAAAATAAATCCTCACTGAGTCAATCATTTTTATGCAACAGATCTTCTGATGTGGAGTTGTTTTACCAACAGGAGCTTAATAAAGAGAAGTAAGTATTTTTAAATATTTACCACAATCTTTCAAGGGGTGAATATACTGTATGAGTTCATGTCATGGTGGTTTTAGCAAGATAAAATTGTTGGGTCTTCAATGGTAAAAATTAAGAAGTGTTCCTGTAGCTGATGCAAGGATCAGTTATTTTAAGGTAATTCAACACATTGGGCTTTAGAAAGATTTCATTGCTTCACTTCATGCTAAAATCCGGCCACATTGTTTATTTATTTGGATTATTAAACATTAAATATGAAACATGTGTAGGAGCTTTAATCTCAAAGGAAAATATCCTTTTATACCAGGTTTTAGCCCTCAAGTCTTTATTTCCACCTGCAGTACTCTGAGTGAATCCAAATCAGTAAATTATGCTGTTATCAGTAATGGTTACTTAACTTTATTGAAAACAACTTATCTGACAATTTGTTCTGGCAGATTAGTTGTCAGTTGTCAGTGTTGGTGTTGCCAAACTGACAACACTAACTGGGCTCACTGCATTGAGACCAGTTCTGTATGGCTGGGTTTTTCTAAACGTTTTCAGGGGACCTATAAAGATTTGTGCTCCATGTCTCTTCTCAACAGAGCCCTTGTGAAACAAAAAGAAGATGAACTTAACTCAATCAAAAGGTAAGTAGAAGATGAATGTAAATTGTTCTATTAATTTTTAACGCTTCCTTATAAAAATGTAACTTTTCAAAGAAGTTTTTCTCAAAAGATATTACAGAATTATAATGCAGACACTTTGCTTTGCACTTCAACAGACAGTTGTCATCAAGGTCCAAGTGCCAACAGTGTGAACAGCAAGAATTTAAACACAAACAAAAGTTTGTACCTTGACTAAAGGATACTTTTTCTGACTTTGAAAGAAATGTGTAACTAATGGTTTGAAAAAAAAAGTTTCAATCATGGTAATTAATCATCGTTTATGGTTTCTTGTTTTCAACAGATTGACTGAGATGGAGACATTTTACAAAGACAAACTGAATAAGGAGAGGGTTAGTATTTTTAAAGTTAGTTTCATGTTAGTTTACCAGGATGATTGTATCAGTTGGGATCATTTTTGATGTTTCATTTCAGTCCAGGTTTGATACAAGTTAGAATCGGTTGGTGGATTTAAAGGTGCTGCAATTAAAACATTTTGTTTTCTGGTTTTTCACCCACAGGACTGTTCTGAAGCAAATTCAGGAAGAACTGACATCATTCAAAGACAGGTGTAGTACATGGAAACCTGTACTTTCAGATTGCTTCTAGTTTGCATTACATTTCTTAAAATACAGTGACTACATGCGCTCACTGGAAATCATCCAGCTTCACGGCTATTGCTGAACTGTCAGCCTGCCTAACCAGTTGAAATCATTGTTTTCTTTACATACATAGTGTATACTATTTCTAATGTCAGGATTTACAAAGTCCCTGGTACTCCCAGAAGCAATAACCATATTCATGGAGTGCATTCTAACCAGAATTTAACTGCTCAACAAAAAATCTTTTTCAACAGAATGGCTGTAAAGGAAACACAGAACGAACATCTTAAAGAAGAAATGTAAGTATTTTAAATAAGGTTTCTGTTAAGGTATTTAAACGATCTAAAATGAACTTCAAGGTGAGCTCAGTTTTATATCTATGTGTAAAGTATAATATAGAGTCTAGCATATAAAACAGTCACACATGATAATATAGATAAAACAGCACCATCCATCTGATGCTAAATTCTTATAAGAATATTTAACAAAGATACTCTCCACAAAAAGTTTTGAAAAGCTTTTAGGCTTAACTCAATCAAAACATTTTCATGTTATTCCTCTACAGATCAGCTTGGCAGCGAGAAAAGCAGAGGTACTGTACACCTACATAGTGGGGAAACCACATTATGTTATATTCTACACTTTTCCTTAGAAATACAGGATAAATTGAAAAGCACAAATCAACAATCCAGATTCAGTTACTGCATGTGGTGATGCAAAACATAAAGAAGAGAAAAAATAAATCCTCACTGAGTCAATCATTTTTATGCAACAGATCTTCTGATGTGGAGTTGTTTTACCAACAGGAGCTTAATAAAGAGAAGTAAGTATTTTTAAATATTTACCACAATCTTTCAAGGGGTGAATATACTGTATGAGTTCATGTCATGGTGGTTTTAGCAAGATAAAATTGTTGGGTCTTCAATGGTAAAAATTAAGAAGTGTTCCTGTAGCTGATGCAAGGATCAGTTATTTTAAGGTAATTCAACACATTGGGCTTTAGAAAGATTTCATTGCTTCACTTCATGCTAAAATCCGGCCACATTGTTTATTTATTTGGATTATTAAACATTAAATATGAAACATGTGTAGGAGCTTTAATCTCAAAGGAAAATATCCTTTTATACCAGGTTTTAGCCCTCAAGTCTTTATTTCCACCTGCAGTACTCTGAGTGAATCCAAATCAGTAAATTATGCTGTTATCAGTAATGGTTACTTAACTTTATTGAAAACAACTTATCTGACAATTTGTTCTGGCAGATTAGTTGTCAGTTGTCAGTGTTGGTGTTGCCAAACTGACAACACTAACTGGGCTCACTGCATTGAGACCAGTTCTGTATGGCTGGGTTTTTCTAAACGTTTTCAGGGGACCTATAAAGATTTGTGCTCCATGTCTCTTCTCAATAGAGCCCTTGTGAAACAAAAAGAAGATGAACTTAACTCAATCAAAAGGTAAGTAGAAGATGAATGTAAATTGTTCTATTAATTTTTAACGCTTCCTTATAAAAATGTAACTTTTCAAAGAAGTTTTCTCAAAAGATATTACAGAATTATAATGCAGACACTTTGCTTTGCACTTCAACAGACAGTTGTCATCAAGGTCCAAGTGCCAACAGTGTGAACAGCAAGAATTTAAACACAAACAAAAGTTTGTACCTTGACTAAAGGATACTTTTTCTGACTTTGAAAGAAATGTGTAACTAATGGTTTGAAAAAAAAAGTTTCAATCATGGTAATTAATCATCGTTTATGGTTTCTTGTTTTCAACAGATTGACTGAGATGGAGACATTTTACAAAGACAAACTGAATAAGGAGAGGTTAGTATTTTTAAAGTTAGTTTCATGTTAGTTTACCAGGATGATTGTATCAGTTGGGATCATTTTTGATGTTTCATTTCAGTCCAGGTTTGATACAAGTTAGAATCGGTTGGTGGATTTAAAGGTGCTGCAATTAAAACATTTTGTTTTCTGGTTTTTCACCGACAGGACTGTTCTGAAGCAAATTCAGGAAGAACTGACATCATTCAAAGACAGGTGTAGTACATGGAAACCTGTACTTTCAGATTGCTTCTAGTTTGCATTACATTTCTTAAATACAGTGACTACATGCGCTCACTGGAAATCATCCAGCTTCACGGCTATTGCTGAACTGTCAGCTTGCCTAACCAGTTGAAATCATTGTTTTCTTTACATACATAGTGTATACTATTTCTAATGTCAGGATTTACAAAGTCCTGGTACTCCCAGAAGCAATAACCATATTCATGGAGTGCATTCTAACCAGAATTTAACTGCTCAACCAAAATCTTTTTCAACAGAATGGCTGTAAAGGAAACACAGAACGAACATCTTAAAGAAGAAATGTAAGTATTTTAAATAAGGTTTCTGTTAAGGTATTTAAACGATCTAAAATGAACTTCAAGGTGAGCTCAGTTTATATCTATGTGTAAAGTATAATATAGAGTCTAGCATATAAAATACAGTCACACATGATAATATAGATAAAAACAGCACCATCCATCTGATGCTAAATTCTTATCAGAATATTTAACAAAGATACTCTCCACAAAAAGTTTTGAAAAGCTTTTAGGCTTAACTCAATCAAAACATTTTCATGTTATTCCTCTACAGATCAGCTTGGCAGCGAGAAAAGCAGAGGTACTGTACACCTACATAGTGGGGAAACCACATTATGTTATATTCTACACTTTTCCTTAGAAATACAGGATAAATTGAAAAGCACAAATCAACAATCCAGATTCAGTTACTGCATGTGGTGATGCAAAACATAAAGAAGAGAAAAAATAAATCCTCACTGAGTCAATCATTTTTATGCAACAGATCTTCTGATGTGGAGTTGTTTTACCAACAGGAGCTTAATAAAGAGAAGTAAGTATTTTTAAATATTTACCACAATCTTTCAAGGGGTGAATATACTGTATGAGTTCATGTCATGGTGGTTTTAGCAAGATAAAATTGTTGGGTCTTCAATGGTAAAAATTAAGAAGTGTTCCTGTAGCTGATGCAAGGATCAGTTATTTTAAGGTAATTCAACACATTGGGCTTTAGAAAGATTTCATTGCTTCACTTCATGCTAAAATCCGGCCACATTGTTTATTTATTTGGATTATTAAACATTAAATATGAAACATGTGTAGGAGCTTTAATCTCAAAGGAAAATATCCTTTTATACCAGGTTTTAGCCCTCAAGTCTTTATTTCCACCTGCAGTACTCTGAGTGAATCCAAATCAGTAAATTATGCTGTTATCAGTAATGGTTACTTAACTTTATTGAAAACAACTTATCTGACAATTTGTTCTGGCAGATTAGTTGTCAGTTGTCAGTGTTGGTGTTGCCAAACTGACAACACTAACTGGGCTCACTGCATTGAGACCAGTTCTGTATGGCTGGGTTTTTCTAAACGTTTTCAGGGGACCTATAAAGATTTGTGCTCCATGTCTCTTCTCAACAGAGCCCTTGTGAAACAAAAAGAAGATGAACTTAACTCAATCAAAAGGTAAGTAGAAGATGAATGTAAATTGTTCTATTAATTTTTAACGCTTCCTTATAAAAATGTAACTTTTCAAAGAAGTTTTTCTCAAAAGATATTACAGAATTATAATGCAGACACTTTGCTTTGCACTTCAACAGACAGTTGTCATCAAGGTCCAAGTGCCAACAGTGTGAACAGCAAGAATTTAAACACAAACAAAAGTTTGTACCTTGACTAAAGGATACTTTTTCTGACTTTGAAAGAAATGTGTAACTAATGGTTTGAAAAAAAAAGTTTCAATCATGGTAATTAATCATCGTTTATGGTTTCTTGTTTTCAACAGATTGACTGAGATGGAGACATTTTACAAAGACAAACTGAATAAGGAGAGGTTAGTATTTTTAAAGTTAGTTTCATGTTAGTTTACCAGGATGATTGTATCAGTTGGGATCATTTTTGATGTTTCATTTCAGTCCAGGTTTGATACAAGTTAGAATCGGTTGGTGGATTTAAAGGTGCTGCAATTAAAACATTTTGTTTTCTGGTTTTTCACCCACAGGACTGTTCTGAAGCAAATTCAGGAAGAACTGACATCATTCAAAGACAGGTGTTGTACATGGAAACCTGTACTTTCAGATTGCTTCTAGTTTGCATTACATTTCTTAAAATACAGTGAGTACAAAAACACATCTTGGCTAAATTCAACTTTAATTTAGTCAGACCGTATTGTCCTATAATGTTCGGGGCAAGTTTAGCCAGGCCTCTGTGTGTTTTTAAGGATATAGGACTTCTTTTCTCCAGTGTTTTCATCTTCCCGTAAAATTATGCCCTCTGCCCCTAATCTTCCCACAGTTTCTCTCCCTCCCCTGCTCTGATACTACCAGACTGTGACATTTCCTGTATGCTCAAGTCCTAAACGTTTTAGGTGTGCATGCACAAGTACTCAAAGGGCCAATGTTTATTTATAGGTTTTTATCTAAATCTATTAATAATTAATTGATTAACTTCTTATTCTGCAAACAGATTTGATACAATCTGATTGAGTCAACACCCTAATGAAGAAATGTAAAGATGTTTTAATAAAGTTACTTTGTTCTTCAAAGTGATACAGTGGAGCATTTGGTTGTACAGTTCCTTCACAGCAAGAACATCCTGATAGTGGGACGGTGACCCACTTCACCAATAAGTAGGGAATAGGCATTTTATGGGTTTATGGAATTCAGATGAAACTCAATCTGTTTTCAGAAATATATTTTTCTACATTATTTCAGTTTCCTTCATTTCTTTAAAATGTCGTTTTACACTTTAGATACATTTGTGTGTATATATATATATATATATATATATAGTAACAAAATGGAACTATATTGTTGCATGAATGTTAATATATAGTAAAGTGTTTGTGTTTCTATGGGGAGAGTACTCATGGTGATATTTATTATTTATCTCATTAACTGTCTGAAATTCTGCATCTTCACACAGATCTGATCTGAAACAAAAACAACAGGATGTGAAAGCATTCAGATCAAGGTAAAACAAAGATATGAGATCTTTGAATAGGCTTGCTCTTCCTGACTCATCAACGATGGTCTCAAAAGCTTCTTGGTTAAACTTTAACATGTATATTTTCAAATGCTGTTTGCTGCCAAGAACGCCACAAATTTACAGTAAAAATGATCTTGCTGAAAAAGTTATTTTTCTGCAAGATATAGAGGCTTGCTTTAAGTAAATAATTTCTTAATATTGGCAAAAACTTAATTATTCCATTGCTGGATTATTTAACTTATAACAAGATTCTGTGCAATAACAATACATTATTACTGCACAGTAATAAATTATTACTGTGTAGTAATAAATCATTGTGGCTGCTGTTAATTTATGAATACATTCAGGCATTTAATTTAACAACTGCTGTGAGTTATCTTCAATTCACTGGCAGCTGAGATAACTATTTTCTGTCCGAAAAAATCTAAGAAAAGATAAGGAAGAGGTGCTCAGGTCCAGACCTCGAGAGCTAGCTCCTCTTGAATTAAGACAGATTAACTATTGTTATTGTTTTTCATCAAAAGATCTAGAACAGAAGTGGTGAGATCCAAATGCCAGGAGTGTGAACGCCGTGATCGTGAACCAAAACAAAGGTTTGGTTCAAAAGTGCTTTTGACCGAATGAATACAGATAATTCCACATTTTTCCTCCCTGATCATTTAAATATATTTCTGTTACAGTTTGAATGAGATGAAGGAATTTTACAAGGAGAAACTCTCCAAGACTGAGTGAGTATTTCTACCTTAAAGACATGATGAACAGTTACAAGCACATAAGACCAAAACTCAGTAAAGCTCACAGACATAATGAGTTTTTACACTGTTATGCTGCTTTTCTCTAATAACATACTTGATCCACAGGTCTGCTCTGAAACAAACAGAGGCAGAACTAAAATCCTTCCTTCAAACAGAGGTACTGTATACCCGGAGACCTAAAACAGTATTATAGTGTCCCATGCATTACCATTAAACATCCTCTGCCTCTGTTGTCTCTGTGTGACCTGAACAGAGTGGCAGCAAATATGGCAGTTTCAATAAAGACATCAAATACTGAGAGCATGAACAACCCGGTCAGTAAAACCAGACTGACTGAGATGTACGACAACATGAAACTGCTGCAGTGGCCTAAAGTCAAAGATCAGCTGAAATCCAGGAAGATCAACCCAAAGGAGGCTAAAGATCTGATTCAGGTACAGCAGATCTTCAAAGAGAGACTAATATGTAGTTTACTCAGCTGCATCAGGATCTTTAGTCTCAAGTTTCATCTGTTGATTCCAGAAAGTCTTTGTAGCTGCATCTGAAGAAATGCAGAGAAAGAAGCAGCACATGGAAGCAACATTTGGACTCACTGAGTCCAGCAGTGGACTGACTTCTCAGAAGGTAAGATAAGATAAGGTGATATAAAATAAGATTTACTTTGTTGTCCTCTATTTGAAATTCTTTGAGAACAGAAGTGGATTCTTGAATGAATAGTATAGATTATAGGAATACACTACGCACCAAATTCAAGTATTTAAAACAGCAGTACCACCACGGTATCTAAAAACAAGACAAATGTTAATAATTAAAATAATGTACAAGATAAGAACTTGGAGTGTATTAAGACCTCCTTTGTATCCTTTGAATAGTAGTCACAGTTTATTAAGAAGAGAAACAAAGGTCAGAAGAAATAATTTTTTTTAAATAGTCGCTTTTGCAACAATGGGTTTCGTTTCAGGTATGAGGCGGTACGGATCTTATATCATTAAAGCAACTTGTGGAAGTGAATTTGTTTTAATCATCCTGCTTTCTGTGTTCTAGGTTAAAGAGTACAGACAGCTAACAATTCAGAACCTGCAGATGGTTCTGTTCCACACTAACAAAGAAGAACTTCTGAAGGTATGTTTGATACATGATGTAGATTTGAAAAGCAAAACAGGACACAGGTGCATTTGTAGATGAAATGGAAAAATCAACATTTCAAATAAGACATTTTCTTTGCAGATTGGTTTCTCTCAATTTGGAGGTCCAAATTCAGAAGAAGTGATGGCGGATCTGAGACCTCTGACATCTGAATGCTACTGGTTGAGCTGCTTGATGGCTTTTAATAATCCTCCTCTTCAACCTGACTGGGAGAACCATGTTCCTTCCATGGATCCTTGGGACATTTTCCCAAGAGACATCAAGCCTTATGCTGCTGTGTAGAAGAACAAGCTTCAGACATAAAATCACAACCTGATCTTTTCAGGGTTTTTATACAGTAAATTCATGTTCATATTAATCTTAACATTTGCAGTGAATTTAATTTCTGTTACCTATACACTTTAATAACAAACAAAATCTATTTTATTGAATTGTATTATCTTAAATGATCAAAATCTTTGCTATCGATATTATTCATATATACTATACTAACCATGATACTGGCAAACATCAGTCACATTTTGTGTACCATAAATAGAAATATGTTTCTCCCAGATTACTTTTTTAATAAATCTTTTGTTATCTTGCTCACTTGGAATATTTTATTTATACACTAGTAAAAAAAAAGGATTAATGTCAATCAATAAAGACAAACCCAATATAAATTAGCAAGTTGTGAAAAAATAAGAACACTGTAATTCTTGAGTTAAAAACGTTTCGTCCCATTCCTTTTCCTTGATGCTTCTTTGAAATGAAGTAATTTAAAATCACCTTTACAATGTGGCATGACGTGTTGCTGTGAAAAGAAACACTTATTTTATTGAACTGGATTATTTAGTGTCAATTGGTGGTTTGTATTGAGAAGAATGAGCCTTTAAAACATCCTCTGATGGTCTATTAACTCTTGCTGTAAAACTTAAGCATAAAACTTGGCCTATTCAGTCAGATGATATTAAAAAGACAAGATGTTTTATTAAAATAGCTTGAACCCATTACAGGGTCTTGGAAGAAATATTCACATCACATTACAGCCACACACATCAATGTATTTTCCTCAGACTTTATGTAACACTAAGTAGTACATAATTTTAAAGTGAAAGAGAAATGGTATATTGTCATTTTATATAAAACATTTGGGGTTGATGCCTATTTTATGGCTTGCTGTACTTCATCAATGAAATCTATGTTGAGTGGATTTCTGGCTGGAAGGGGAGCCTCTACTTTTGTGTCAAGTTTTTTGCAGTGCACAACATTTACCACTCCATCTTAAAGCTTTATTTAGCTATGTCCATTTTTCCATCAATTCTGACCAGTTTTCTGGTCCCTTCATAAAAAAAAGTCAAATTAGTCAAGAGTAAGAATCAATAAATTATTCCACTTCAGCTGTAATTCCTGACTTGTTTGCTCTGTTTGCTAGTCTTCAGTTTGCAGTCTGTTAAACTTCAGACTATTGTGGAGCGAGAGAATTAAAGTCCAGACCTTGTTAAAGAGAGAACAAAATACAGCTTTATTACATCTGTGCAGATGGAGAGCAGAGCAGTTACACTGTTCTGAACAGCTCTAACTACACAAAGGAAAACACCTCTCCAATGTCATACAAAGATACCTTTGATATCATCCAAGAAGCACAGTACTCCATGCAGACACATAATGTCTGTGGAGAAGCATATCAGATTATCACACACACAAAGAAAAATGAAACCTTCAGTTACAAACAGGTTTCAGACAGTTTATTAGGCACAGTTTCTATGTCTAATAATAATCTAATCGCCAGCCATCGAGTCTGGTCTGTCCCCCGTGAAGTAGAAAACTATTTGCTTATCACCTGTTGCTATGCTTCTGGGTCACTAAGACAAACTTTGAAAGCTAAAAGAGAAACAACAACTATATAACCATGCAAATAAATTGATTAAACATTGTAAGATTAATAATGAATAAACATCTAATAAAAGTAAACACACTGTGAATATTTTATTTTCCACACTATATTTAATAAAAAAGGTCAATGTGATCTCTGTATTATGAGCTGTAGTTTCATATTAACTTTCACAAAAAACCAGGATCACAATCAGTTTCAGGACTTGTGCCTTTGCTCTAACTGAACATCTAACTGAAATCTGAAATGGTGGCGGTTCTGTTCTAATTTGTCTAGAATTTTATTTTTCATTTCTTCTATGAAACCAAAATGACTTTGCAAATGAGGTTGTTGATATGGCAAAGTCAGTATTTGGTTCTGTATTAAAGTGAAATGAAGTAAAGAAAGAAATAAGTGAAAGAATTTCAAGTGTTGATATAAAATGTTTTATTTAACTTCATATAACTGATCTAAATTCCATCAGTTTTAGATTTATAAAGTTAATCTCCAAGCATTTTTCCAGCCATCTTCTGGTTAAAATGAAATACATGTAAACTACACTAACTTTATTTAGTGCTGATTTATTGACAATTTTTGATAATTTAGTGAATGATTAAAAATGATATAATCAGAAATTGCAGAATGGAGTGGAACAGATTGCAACAATATAATTATAGTTATGCACATATGAAATATATACAAAGTAGCTATTAATACAAACTATTGAGTATTTTAAAAAATACTCAGTAAGAATTGAGTCATTAAAAATGAAACAAAGCTCCTTTCTGCCTACTCTCATTTATTTAGTTGTGCGGCATGTTTCTCAAAAATGTAATTTATTGAATGTTAGACATTTACCCCAACTTTGAGTTGATCATAATTCAGTTTCATAATTTGACTGAAAGAGATTACAGTCGACAGAAAACTACTTCTCACAAATCAGCAGCATAGCGTGTACGGCCGTCTATATCTGGGTTTTGTTACAGTTATCAGATTTAAATCTTAGACTTCATTGAACATTCTTTGTCTTCTTCCAGAGAAAGATATGTTTCCAATACTGAACTGTGACACCACATAGAAATGTGCAATATAATGACCTGTGACATAGCGTGACTAACTACCAGATTGAGATCAGGAGACAGAAAGACAGACGCAGAGACTTAAAGCTCTACTGGTATAGAGTTTATCAGGGCAGTGAATGCACTGATAAACTGTTTTTCTGTTAAGAGATTGTTCCTTTTGCCCTTTGTTTTTGAAACAAAAGGCTGTCAATCACAACTCAAAGATAAAGAAAAGAATGTTATCTTTTCTAACTAACCGCTTTGTTTTTGCTTTATGTAATGACCTGCTTTTGTCAGTCCAGTCAAAACAAATCTTAAGACCAAGCACCCATACATTTTCAGTTAGTAGGAAACAGTGCTAATCTTGTTTTTGAATGCAGGCTCCATGTGTTTTTAGACTGACTAATCAATGAACCCATTTATTTTTATTTTAGAAATGTTAGAATTCTCAAGGTGTTTTTTGAAAAAAAAAACCCTTAATTAGGTCAAATGGAGCTTATGATGGTTTCTGCCTACATGAGTTTTGAGTGCAAAACCAGCAGACGTCTCAGAGGTTAAGAGAATATTGGGGCTCAAACAGCATAATGAATCCAAGGAACACACCAGGCAGGTCGGGGAGAAGCTGTGGAGAAGATTAAAGGAGGCTTAGGCTATAAAAAGGTTTCCCACACTTTGAACATGGGGAACTGTTCAACTGATCGTTTGGAAATGGAAAGAGCATAAACCTACCTAGACAAGGCCGTCCACCTAAACTTCCAAACCGAACAAAGAGAGAACTGATCAGAGATGTAGCCAAGAGGCCAGTGGTGACGACTCTGGACCAAATCCAGAGATATACAGATCAGGGGGGAAATCTGTCCACAAGACAACTATGAAATAAATAAATAAATAAATATATATATATATATATATATATATATATATATATATATATATATATATATATATATATATATATATATTTATATATATATATATATATATATATATATATATATATATATATATATATATATATATATATATATATATATATAGCTCCATGTGTTAAATACTAAGTTGCGTAACATGCCGGCTCAGACGTCGCCCGGCCAAACAAGGTCTGCGTCAGGTGTTGGGGAACCAGAGCAC